TGTTCTTACCGTACAGTATTTATCAGATGTTCTTACCGTACAGTATTTATCAGATGTTCTTACCGAATTTATCAGCCGTTCTTACCAAATTTATCAGTTGTTCTTACCGAATTTATCAGCCGTTCTTACTGAATTTATCAGTTGTTCTTACCGAATTTATCAGCCGTTCTTACTGAATTTATCAGCCGTTCTTACTGAATTTATCAGCTGTTCTTACCGAATTTATCAGCCGTTCATACCGATTTTATCAGCCGTTCTTACTGAATTTATCAGCTGTTCTTAATGTACAGTATTTGTCAGCTGTTCTTACTGTACAGTATTTGTCAGCTGTTCTTACTCTTTTTATCAGCTTTTCTTACGGTTTTTATCAGCTGTACCATTTTTGGTTCATTTTAAGCCTGTATCTGCATTTCTGTAAAACACTGATTTTACCTATGGAAGGTGCTACATAAAGTTTATTTACTTACAAAGACAACATTATTGAAGAGGCATCAGAAAACACCTTTAAATGTTAAAACATATGCATTCTGGTGTTGTAATTAAAACTAAACTAGCAGGCTAACAAAGACCAACATGGACATAGATGTAGGCGTTCAAGGACGTCCCAGTGTTCAACAGTATGATAGAATTAATGTCCCCAAGTAATAAATCAGTAAAGACAGCAGTCTCTAAATACACCTTTGTGCAATAATAGCTCCCAGCAACAGAAAAAATAAATTATGCACACTATTTGGTAAAAAAAAAGAAAGAAAAAAGTGAAATACTGTGTGCAACATGGCTACTTTCCAAAGTGCAACTACTTCAGAAGTTTATTTGTTTTGCTCGTATTTGTTTGTCTTGGAGTTTAATCACCAGGCAGTGACAGCTGCCTGGCAACAGCCAATGAGAGCCGAGAGGCAGCAGTCATTGAATGCAAAATACAAACCTATTATTGCTAAAAGTAAACTAACACCATAAACACACCCAAGTTCATTTGATTGGCAAATTGGAGCTTTAGAAACAAACCGCTGTGGGAAACGGCAGCACTAGACAAAAGAAACAAAAAACTCACCACTGTGGATATAATGGTACCAAGTTCCAAACCTTAATTGCTCCAAATTGTTTTTGACAAATAAGCTTAAGAATCAAAAGCATACAAAACTATTTTAAGGTCAAATCAAGGGAAAGTTGGAAGAAGAGTTCAATAAGTGTACTTTAAACAGAACCACAGGTTTACAAAGAAAAACTAAAGAGAAAAGCAGAATTTGTTTCTGGTAGAGTCTGTGGGTTCACTTACCTTTAGGTCCCGATGAACCACACCCATCTGGTGACAGTGGAGTACCGCCTCTAGGATCTGCTGTATGCAATGACTGCATGCAAACACCAGGGGGCGCTGGGTTAGTGACAAGCTACAACTATCTGCAGCAGCTTTGACACTTGGACAGCAACACTTACCAACATAACTAAATTTGAAGTCATTAGGCAAAATCAGTCTTTACTAAACAGTCTTGTTGTCCACGTTGCTACAGTTCTGTCCATGTGTCAAACAACAGTGGGGTTAGATCGTCAGGACAGTGGCAGAGGGATGACCGGTGCAGCAGCCAGGATGCAGTGATGCTCTCTGTTCTTGGTTCCCGTCAGTGCCAAAACAACCGAAATTAGTCCCCAATTTCCAAAATGGTTGGTTTGTAGAATATTGTGTCACAATATTGTTACAATATTGTGTCACCCTAAGGTGACAATAAAAGATACTTTTCTAGACTTAACATGAATTACTAATAAATTATGAGGAAGTTTACATGTTCAATAATACTAATGTTTACATTACAAAACTCTCCATTAACAATTGTATAGTCTTTTTTTTGTGGGGGGGTGGGTTAAAATCAGCTACGCATTTATTATTGTTAGTGCTTTTATTTATTCATTCATTTATTTATTTATTTTGGTGCAGTAAATAAACATGATTTTTTTTCTTTCTGAAAACGCCTAAAAATTATTAATTTTTTTATTTGTCTGAATTTTTTTCCAATGGCTCATAACCTCACAGTAACTTTACTACACGTTTATTTGGGAAAAATAAGAAAAAAAAAGGTAAAAAAATATATATATCCCTTATTTATCATGAAATAACGCATTCCTCTCAACAATGTTTTTATCTTTATCTTTAAGAAACTTTATTTTTACATTAGCTCACTAGGTGATGCTCCATTCTTATATTTTAGAGCCTTTAAAAATCAACCAAGATGCAGTTCAACTCCTCCCAGCAGAGGGACTTCTTCCTCTATCAGTTGCTGCAGAGTCATGCCTCTCATTTCGTCAGACAAAATTGTTTGAGCATAAAGAGCAAACTCTTGTAATGTGCACAAGTAAATTTTCAGTACTAAAAAGCTGTTTCACATGCATGCAGGCTGCAGCATCAGACGCTCCATTACTGACTGCCATGGCAACCAGGATGCCCTAAGTTGTAGATTGATGAGCGACTTTGTAGTTGAGAAGTTCGGTGAGGCCTTGGACAAAGACTCTTAACTGGCTCTGAGGAGATTCTGGCAAATCATCAGGCAGCCAAGGAGGGTAAAGCAGCTCTTTACCAACACTGTGTTCAGTGAAGGTGGGGTGCTGTTGACCTAAACCAGTGATGTTATCAGGAGGTGGAAGGAATACTTCTCAGGCCTTCTCAACTCCACCAGCATGACATCCATGGAGGAGGCAGAGCTGGGGGACTTCGGTGTTGGTCTGTCCATAACCGTGGCTGTGGTCGCCGAGGTAGTTAAAAACTATTGTTGGGCTGTCTTGGTTGACACACCTTTGCAACATTACGTGGACATAGGGGGCAGTGCCACTGGACTGGTAGACTGCGGTGGTGGTTCCCCTCTTCAAAAAGGGGGACCAGAGGGTGTGCTCCAATTATAGGGCTATAATTCAACTTAGCCTCCCTGGTAAGGTCTATTCTGGGGTACTGAAGAAGTGAGTCCGATCATTGATCGAACCTCAGATCCAGGAAGAACAATGCAGGTTCTGTCCTGGCCGTGGAACACTGGACCAGCTCTTTACCCTCACTAGAGTCCTTGGGGGGTCATGGGAGTTTGCCCATCCAGTCTACATGTGTTTTGTGTACTTGGAGAAGGCTTTCAACAGTGTTCCTTGAGGTACATTGTGGGGGGTGCTTCGTTAGTATGATGTTGGGGGCCCGTTGCTAAAGGCTGTTTGAGTCTCTATACAAGCGAAGCGAGAGTTGGGGTTGCATTGCCAGTAGTAAGTTGGACCCCTCCAGGGTGGGAGTTGGACTCTGCCAGGGCTGCCCGTTGTCACCGATTCTGTTCATAACTTTCATGGACAGAATTTCTCAGTGCAGCCAGGGGTGGAGCAATTCTGGTTCGGTGGCCTCAGGATTCCATCTCTCTTTACAGATGATGTGATCCTGTTGGTGTCATTGTGCCGTGATCTCCAGCTCTCATTGGAACAGATTACAGTAGAGTGTGAAGTGGCTGTAATGAGAATCAGCACCTCCAAATCTGAGGCCATGGCCCTCATTCGGAAAAGAGTGAGGGTGAGAGTGAGTGAGTTCTCTTCAGGTCAAGGGTGAGGTTCTGTCTCAAGTGGAGGAGTTCAAGTATCTCAGGGTTTTGTTCACAAGTGAGAGAAGAATTAAGAGTGAAATTGACAGATTGGTGCAGCATATGCAGTATTGCGGATCCTGTGCCGATCCATTGTGGTGAAGAGGGAGCTGAGCTGTAAGGCAAAGCTCTTTTTTTACCTGTCAGTCAATGTTCCTACCCTTACCTATGGTCATGAACTCTGGGTAGTGACCAAAAGAATGACATTGTGGATACAGGCAGTTGAAATGAGTTTCCTCCGCAGGGTAGCTGGACTCTTCCTTACAGAGGGTGAGGAGTTCAGTTATCTGGAAGAGTCTGAGTAGAACCACTGCTCCTCCACATTGAGGAGCCAGTTGAAGTGGTTCAGGCTGGTAAGGATGCTTCCTGGGCACCTCCTTTGGGAGGTGATTTGGAAAGGTCCAACTGGGAGGAGACTCAGGGGAAGATCCAGGACACACTCGAGAGACTACGTCTCTTGGTTAGCCTGGGAACGCAGCTAGAAGAGGCCTCTCTGATCAAGCTGCTGTCCCCGCAAACTGACTTTGGAACAAGCGGAAGATAATAGATGGGATGGATGAACGAGGACACAATGGTGTGTGTGTGTGTGTGTGTGTGGGGGGGGGGGTCTGGGGGTTTGAATAAAGTAGATGCCATTTCCTGCATTATGATGTATTTTAACTAGTTGACTAGTTGTTAAACATATATGTTTACCTACGTAAGTAAACACTTGATTCAACAACTCTTTTAGAGAGCAACAAGAAGTAGTGTGACTAACAGCTCTCGTTGTGTGACTAGAGCACGTTCCGCTTCTTTCAAGCATCCTAGCCCCAACTCCCATGTTGAAAACTACTGGAACTAACGTAGCATTAATTAGCACTCCTGATTTGTATATATTTATATATGATTTGTAAACGTGTAGTTCATTCAATCTTTATTTATATAGTTTAGTCTCACTGAGCCTCGAGGACTCATTTACAAGAGAGGCCTGTAGTGAAGTAAGGAGTGTGTCACCCTTCTTCCATCGCTGCATTTTTTAATGCCCCGTGTGAGGCAATCACTAAGCTACACTCTGTCTAGTAATGATTCGTATGTGGATGAGGTTTCATTAAACTGTCTTGAGGGGACCAGAAGTTATGGGCAGGAAAATTGAAAATTTAAGGATGCACAGATACTAAACAATTATTCATGCTGACTTTAATGAACATAATAAATAAAATAAATAAATATAGTGACATACCTTTAAGAAGCATTAAAGTGAACACAACAATTAGTAACGCTAGGATTTAACTGAAAATCTGTTTCAAAAGTGCATGTCAATCTATCAACAACAACAAAAAAAAAGTCAATCTATGTTGAAAGGAAATTATGGGGTCATAAAGGAACAGGATGTTTGAATCAAATCTGTGACTACAGAAAAAAAATGTAGTGTCAGCAGACAGAATATCAGCAGACATCCCTTCTCTGGCTCATCGTCTCCTCTGCCACTGTCTGTCAGTCATTGTGTCAAAACATTAAGCTACATGCACTTTGTGCTCTGGTATATAGGAGAAGCAAGCAACGACAAACATCCACCTTCCCCACCTTTGCTACATGACCTGCTGCCTCCTCTCCACCACACCTGCTGCAGGGGAGTTTTTGGAGGAGGTGACATTTGGAAGGTTAATCAGTTTGACTTGTGAGCAAGGGGAAAGGGTGGGAACGGTGCTGTAGGTGGGCAGAACTGTGTAAAATTTACTGTTACTACTGTGTCTTACTAACCTTTAGGTCCCTGTGCGCTATGTCATTTATGTGACAATGATTTACACTTTCTAGAACCTGCTGTATGCAGTGACTGTGGAGAGAGCAACCCAGAAGCAAACAGGAGAGGAGAAATGGACAAACTGTCAGCCAACAAAACAAGGAAAAGACAGAGAAAAACAACATGTGAAATAACTCTTCATCAGCCAGATAAATGCTTTGAAGGAACACTTCAGGTTTTTATTTTTATTTCCCCTGCTGTAGAATGAGTTTAGTCTCAAGTTTCATCACTCGTGGTTAACTTTTAGTTGAAACTGAACACATAATTAAATGGCTACAATTTCCAAACATAATCAGTTTTAAATGCCAATGCCCCTCATCGCTGAGGGATTTGACCAATACTTTGAAGATATTTGAGTGCACTCTATATAGTCCAGAAATTGCTCTAGTTATCATATTTGTAGCCATTTTACCTCCTTCCAGTTTTACCTGAGCAAACTTGAGACATGGCAGGAGTTCGGAGAGGCCATGGAGAATGACTTCCGCACGGCTTCGAGGCAATTCTGGTCCACCATCCGGTGTCTCAGGGGGACTCACTGTTTATAGTGGGAGTGGTGTGCTGCTGACCTCAACTCGGGATGTTGTGGGTCGGTGGGCGGAATACTTTGAAGACCTCCTCAATCCCACTGGCACGTCTTCCACTGAGGAAGCGGAGCCTGGGGACTCTGGGTCGGGCCCTCCAATCTCTGGTGCTGAGGTCACCGAGGTGTTTAAAAAGCTCCTCAGTGGCAGGGCCCCAGGGGTGGATGAGATTCGCCCGGAGTTCCTTAAGGCTCGGGATGTTGTAGGATTGTGTTGGCTTACGCGACTCTGCAATATTGCGTGGACATCGGGGGAAGTTCCCTTGAATTGGCAGACCGGGGTGGTGGTCCCCCTATTCAAAAAGGGGGACCGTAGAGTGTGTTCCAACTACAGGGGAATCACGCTCTTAAGCCTCCCTG